CATCATCATTATCGATCAATCATCATCATCATCATTATCAATCAATCATCATCAATTAATCACTAGCATCATCATCATCATCATTATCATTGTTATTATTATCATCATCATCATCAATCAATCAACCATCATCACCATCATCAATCAATCATCACCATCATCATTATCAATCAATCATCATCAATCATCACCATTATCATTACCATCATTGTCACCATTGATGACTATCATTTTTTGCTATTCAGAATAACATTGTAATAAAATGATTTTAGTAATTTTATTCGATCATAAAATTAATAATTTTCATAGTTAGCAAAATTATTTAATTATTATTTCAGCATAAATCTTACTTCACCATTTTGATTAGTATACATTTTTGTCATACCCAAATCAAATAATACAACAAATGGTTGATCAGCACTTAATACACCCATATTATCCGGTTTTAGATCACGATGAAGTAAACCTTCTCGATGCATATCATGAATTCCTGTATTTAAAAATAAATTTATTTTGATATTATTCTAATTCATGATTTATCAATTACTATTATTTCTTTTCTTTTTTTTTTTTGAAAAATTTATGAAAGTTTTTTAAAGATAACCAATTACATTTAATATAAAAATTTTCATATAAATTTTGTAATAAAAAGTTGAAAATATTTTTGCGAAAGATTTTACGTTTTTAATTGTAACAGAAGTTTAAAATTGTCCAAAAATTTGTTGTAAAATGGATTTCAAAGAAATATAAAAAATTTAGATGATAAGTTTTTTTTTTTTCTGAAACAATTCGTCCATTTTTAAATTACATTTAAATTCATTAATTTTCTAATTAGTTTAGAATTAACTTCACTTTTCAACTTTCGTAACTTTTTTAAATTAACTTCATCAAATTATGCATAACCTTTTAACATTTGCAACATTGCTCGAGTAACAGCAAGTTTTCGTTCTAAACCATCGTACTATAAAATTTCCTTGTAATTTTTTTTATTTTTTTGAAAGATTCATAAAGAGAAATAATAAACACTTCATTAATTAATTAATTAATTTTAATCATCCGTTCAAAAATTATTTTGCAATACTCTAAAATACTTATTATAAAGAATAACTGGATACAAAACCTGGAAAATGATGATATGAACTTGAAATTAACATGAATTTTTTCTTTTCTTTTTTGTCAACTTTATTTTTGTCAACAAATAAACAATCATTTAATTAGTTATCAAAAAATTAACGGGTAGATTAATGAAGAGAGGAAGAAATAAAGAGAAGAGAATACTGTAATTATCAATGATATGCTTGAATTTTATCATAATTTATAAAATGATTCACAATTTACAAAAAGACTTTAAATTAAATATGAATTTAAATTGGAACAATTGGACAGAAGTATGTATGTATTCATTCATTTTTCATTTTTTTTTACATCTAATTTTTCTTTATTTTACTTTTGAAATGATATTTAAAATTATATA